ACACACACACACACACACACACACACACACACACACACACACACACACACACACACACACACGACACACACGACACACACACACACACACACACACACACACACACACACACACACACACACACACGCAAGGGGGGGAGGCAGGGAGAGCATGGCGATTGCGTAAATGTGGTGTTACACTGCTGTGCACCGTTTGCATCTTGTGCACTGCGTGCCAAGTGGTATTGCACGTATCTGCTTCGTGTGTTTGCTGCGAATGCTTTCCAGAGAGGCCCAGCACGTCAATCTCATACGCGACGCTCACTTGTCACACATCAAACACCAACACATACACATACACACACATACACTGGTCATTGTCGCCCAGACGCTCATTTCCCTGTTACAAGCCATGGACGTTGTCATCCCCAACATTGTGGACGCCGAGGTTACAGGTGCGTCGCTGCGCACGGGAGTTTGAGTGGGCGTGACTGTGAATGTTGCACTTGCAATCCAACAGCATCTTTACCCCCCCCCCCCAAACAAGCGCGAACACACGCGCGCACAAATGTGCTTGGTGTCTTGCTCATCATGACACGTCATGGACATTCCATCCGCCTATGCGTTGTGCAGATGTGTATGAGGAGGAAGACGAGGAAGACGAGGAAGACGAGCAACACGCCCAATGATGGGCATTTTCGATCCCTGCAAGCCGTTCGTAGCGTCGCTGTGCCCCACATGTGTGTGTGTGTTTGCCTCTCGATTTCCCGATGTCGCTTCTGTTTTGTTTGATGTTAATCATGGCGCATATGTGATTTTTGTTGTGTTGTTTCTCACTTGCTTGGGGGTGGGGTTGGCCGCAGCAGCTGGTTGTAAACATCATTGCCCGACACAGGACACAGAGAGGCATGCACACTGAGAGTCACAGACACAGAGATACACAGAGTCACACACACACACACACACACAGACACACACACACACACAGACAGACACACACACACACACACACACACACACACACACACACACACACACACACACACACACACACACACACACACACACACACACAGAAGCCGCCCAACACCGACGACACGACAGCACAAAAGCTGTCCGTACTCCTCCAAATTTGCGACAGCATATTTTATGCGAGTTGTAGAGTGGAATGTCGTATCCACCGGGAAATGCTTGCAGGCACACCCACACTGTTTTGGTCACAGCAACGTGCTTCGACGCGGTGTTTTGGTGTTTGGGGGGTGGGCGGTGGGTGCGGCTTTTTGCTTGGTTGTTGGCTTGGTCAGGCCTCAAGCACGCAAGCAAGCACATGAATGAATGCGCGCTCCACCACGCGTGCATGTGAAGGCAAAAAGGGAAGCAGCATGCTTGCTTGTTTGTGTGCCTTTTTCGCAGGCCATCAGCACTTCATTTCCCCTTTTCCAACCCACCCACCTCCTCCCACGTTTGTGCAGCAGGTTGGTGGTCCGTGTGTTCACGCCTGCAGGCATCAGCACAGGCACCGGCGCTTATGAGCCCATGCGTGGGCGCATGCCGGCTGGTTGTTGCTTCTTCGGGGTTGCCTGCCTGTATGCCTTGCACCTGTTTTGGTTGGATCACTGCCGAAGAGCAAGCTTCAGCCCATCAGCGTCTCATGTCATGTTGTTGTTCAAGCAGTGTTGAAGTGTTTGCGTGCAAGCACTCGCACATGCATGCAGTCTCATGGCGCAGCCATCATCAGCATCATCAGCATCATCATCACCAACGCGCATGCTGATGACAAGAGCGCAATGCACGACACCTCACCTCCCTCGCCTCTCTTGCTTGCTTTGGTTGGGGTGTGATGATGTAGGTGACTGACACGGCCTCATGGACAACAATTTCCAGTTTGACGACATCGATGTGCGTTTGCCTTGCTCTGGTGGTTTTGTGCGTGGTGCAACACATGCAGCTTGCTGGGGCTTCCTGCTGTTGTATTGCGTGTCGCTGTTGCCCCCCTCCCTTTCTTTGCCTTTGCCTTTACCTTTGCCTGCAAGCAAGCAAGCAGTAAGCAAATGCTCTCCTCCCTCGTCTCACTGGGCACACTGTCCCTCTGTTGACAATATGTGTACCCATTGGTGTTGATGGTGATTGTTGTTGTAGGATGCTGCCCGCACGGACAGCTACCGCACTGCGGTGAGCAGTTCCAGGCGTGACTCGCCCTCCAAGTCCATTCAGGGCGTCACGCGGGGCTCCAGCAACACCGACATTGGCGTTCCGGCTGCCCCTGCATCCTCTGGCGGTGCGTCTCTTTTGCGTGTCACGCGCTAGCATGCATGCATGCTTGCTTGCCTCACACATGTGTCCATGTGTGCGTGTATCTATGTGTGCGTGCGCGTGTGTATGCGTGTATGTGTGTGTGACGGTGCTGTTGTGCCTTGATCAATGACCACTGTTCCTCTCTTCGGTCTTGCTCCTTGTCTTCGTCTTCCTCACCCTCAAACGCTGCTTGCTTTGCTTTGTCTCTGCCACGCAACACAAACTACCGCTGTGCAGCACAAGAACCATCGCGTGCAAGCATCCAGATTGTGCCACCAGAGCAGGCCAAGAACCCGAGCAATGGCGCCTCCAACAGCGCTACCAACGGGGCCCCCAACGGTGCTACCAAGTCCACCACCTTCCCTGAGACCAAGCATGAGACCAAGCAGTCTTCTCCCGAGCCAAGTAAGCAAGCGAGAAAGCACACCACTCGCAAGCCATCCCCTGACATGCCAACTGCATTTCCGCACCCACTTGCCTTCTTGACACACCGCGTCTGCGCAATTATGATCTTGTACGTGCCCACTTTGACCTCACGTCATTGTCTCACCCCTGCTCTCCGCTACTCTGATGCTGTGTGTGACGTCTTGTGTTGTGCATTTTGTGTTGTGTGTGCGATGCACGTGTTCGTCAGGCAAAGAAGAGGGCAAGGGCGGCAAGAAGGGCAAGAAGGGCCCTGACCTGGACGACCTGAAGAAGGAACTTGTGATGGACGAGCACCAAGTCCCCGTGGAGGAGCTCATGGCCCGCCTGAAGCTCAAGAGCATCGAGAGTGGTATGACGGAGACGCAGGCTGCGAAAACCCTTGAGGAGGAAGGCCCCAACGCCCTCACTCCACCACCAACGACGCCCGAGTGGATCAAGTTCCTGCGCCAGATGGTTGGCGGCTTTGCTTCCCTCCTCTGGCTCGGTGCTATCCTCTGCTTCGTCGCATACGGTATCCAGGTTTCCCAGGCAGATGAGGGTGAAACGGTTGCCGGTGACAACCTCTACCTTGGCATTGTGCTCGCCGCCGTCGTCGTCATCACGGGCTGCTTCTCGTACTACCAGGAGGGTCGTGCCGCCAACGTCATGAAGGGCTTTGCCAAGCTGCAGCCGCAGAAGAGCAAGGTCCGCCGTGATGGCAAGGTCCGCGTCATGGATGCCGTGGAGATTGTTCGTGGCGATGTTGTGGAGATCAAGTCTGGTGACCGCATCCCCGCCGATCTTCGTCTCATCGAGGTCCAGGGTCTCAAGGTCAGCAGTGTTTTGTTTGTTCCTTTGTGCGTGTGGTTTTGCGTGCGCTTGTGTGTTTGTGTGTGTGTGTGTGTGTGTGTGTGTTTGTGTGTGTGTGTGTGTTCATGGGTTTGCTTGTTTGTGTGCTGTGTGCGCACGCGTGTGTGCATGTCGCTCACGCATGTGGCGTGCGAAATTGCTCAACCCATCACTAACGCACTACACACTGCCTCTGCTTGTTTTGCATATTCTCCCCCTCACGTGTCTGGTCCACAGGTTGACAACTCTTCCTTGACGGGTGAATCTGAGCCCCAGAAGCGTAGCCCCGAGTGCACGGATGTCAACCCGCTCGAGACACAGAACATTGCCTTCTACTCCACCAACGCCGTGGAGGGGTCTGGTGTGGGTATTGTGATTCGCTGCGGTGACAACACTGTCCTTGGCCGCATTGCCGGTCTTGCCAGCGGTGTCGACTCTGGCGGTGAGCTTTCTTCCCCGTGCATTGTGTGCACATGTGTGTGTGTGCGATCGTGTGTGCACGTGTGTGCAATTGGGTCAATGTGTGTGTGAGTGTGTGTGCGAGTGTGTGTAATTATGTGTGTGTGTGTGCGGAGATGCGTGGAGAATGTGAGCTGAGACATCGCTTGCTCCATCTCTGGTCCTCTCTCCCTCCATCTATGCTATTCCTGACCGTTTGTATGTGTGATGGTTCCCATCGCACTCACCTGAATGGCCTCGTCTCATTTCCCACCACCGCAACATGCTGGCAGATACGCCCATTGCGCGCGAGATCCACCATTTCATCAACATCATCACCGCTGTGGCTGTTGTTCTCGGTGTCTCCTTCTTCATCATCGCCCTTGCCATTGGCTACTTCTGGCTTGACGCCGTCATCTTCCTCATTGGTATCATTGTCGCCAACGTGCCCGAGGGTCTCCTGGCCACGGTGACCGTCGCCCTCACCCTCACCGCCAAGAAGATGGCCACCAAGAAGTGCCTCGTCAAGAACCTCGAGGCTGTCGAGACGCTTGGCTCCACCTCCACCATCTGCTCCGACAAGACCGGTACCCTGACCCAGAACAACATGACTGTCGCCCACATCTGCTTCGACCAGGAGATTCGCGAGGTCAACACCGACCCGACTGTGGAGAAGGAGTTCTCCCACGAGGTCAACGACTCTTACCGCGCCCTCTACCGCGTCGCCGTCCTCTGTAACAAGGTGTGTGCGTGTGCATGCGCGTGTGTGTGTGTGTGCCTGTGTGCGTGTGTGCATGCGCGTGTGTGTATTGTTGCCTTGCGATCAGCGTATGAGCTGTGATGTTTTTGATCCTCCTGTTTCTCCTCTCTGGTGCACCTCCTTGTCTCCTACTGCACCTCTTGTGTCTCTTCCTTCCACCTCCATCACCATGACCACGTATGCTTCAGCTCACCTCTCAATCACTTCTACCTCACCACAACTCCATGACCCCACCCCACCCCACCTTAACCGCAGGCCAACTTCCGCCCGCCAAACCCGGGTGAGGACTTCAGTGACGTTGCCATCCTCCGCCGTGACACCATTGGTGATGCGTCCGAGTCTGCCATCTTCAAGTACACCGAGCGCAACGCCGCGCGCGTTCTCTCCGAGACGAAATCCGTCCAGGATTCGCTCGTTGTTGGTGAGCGCTCCAAGTACCCGAACGTGGCTGACATTCCCTTCAACTCGAAGAACAAGTACCAGGTCTCCGTGCACGAGACACCAGACGACGACCCGCGCTACCTCCTCGTCATGAAGGTGCGGATCCATGTGTTTGTGTGCTTCTGTGTCCGGAAACATGGTGCGCGCACGCGTTTGTGCGTGTATGTGTGTGCTTGTGTGTCGTGTCTGTGTGAATTGTGTGAGCATGTCGTGGCTGTGTGTGCTTGTATGTGATGTAACACACTGCACGCATTGTATTGTGCCAAGCCTGTCTGTTTTTCTGCCCGTGACAGCAATCACGACGTCGCTCATCACCATCGCCATCAACATCACTATCATCAACACCACCACCACCATCATCGATTGCAGGGTGCCCCCGAGCGCATCATCAGCCGCTGCTCCCACCTGTACCGCAACGGCGAGATTGTTGACATGACCGATGCCGACCGCGAGAAGTTTGAGGCCAACAACACCGCCCTCGGAAAGCGTGGCGAGCGTGTGCTTGGCTTTGCCTGCCTCCGCCTCCCTGCCGACAAGTACCCCGCTGGCTACCAGTTTGAGACCCAGCCCGCCAACTTCCCTCTCGAGGGTCTTGTGTACTGCGGTCTCTTTGCCATGATTGACCCTCCTCGCCCCGCTGTGCCCGGCGCCGTCGCCAAGTGCCGTACCGCCGGTATCAAGGTGAGAAGTTTACAGTGCAGCACACCTGCGATAGATTTGCGTTTCATGCCTGCATTGCATTGCATTGCATGCATGCACTGCGTGGTGGTTCAAACGCACTCGGGCCACGACGACTCACACAACGTTATCCTTCTTTCCTTCCTGCTTTGTTTTGCTCTCGCCATTTGTTTTAGGTCATCATGGTCACTGGTGACCACCCCGTCACGGCCCAGGCCATTGCCAAGCAGGTCGGTATCATCTACAACGAGAAGACCGTCGACGACCTTGCTGAGGAGCGCGGTGTGTCCCCTGATCAGATCGACCCCGCCGAGGCCCACGCCATTGTCATCAAGGTACACATATACTTTCCTTTAGCACACGCATACGTGCTCGCGCATACATGTGTGTGTGTTTGTATGTGTGTATGTGTGTAAGTTTGTATGTTTGTATGTGTGTGCATACTTCCCCCGTACTTCTGTGTGCAAAGGGCCCACATCTCACCTTCGTTGTTTTCCCAATCCCATGTAATGGCAGGGCACCACCCTCGCGGACATGTCCTCTGAGCAACTGGACGACATTCTTGCCAACCACACTGAGATTGTGTTTGCCCGTACCTCGCCCCAGCAGAAGCTCATCATCGTCGAAGGTATCGTGTGTAGGTGTGTGTTTTTTGTTGTTAGTTTTGTGTTTCGTCGGTTTGTGTGCTTGTGCACACTTGTTTGCCCGCGTTACCTCCCTCAGTCCCGCTTTCTGTTCCTTCCCCTCGACCCCTCTGTGTTTGCGGTCGTCTAACACCTTCCTCTCTTCTCCCCCTCGCTCCACCCGCGACAGGCTGCCAGCGCGCTGGCCAGATTGTGGCTGTGACTGGTGATGGCGTGAACGACTCGCCCGCCCTGAAGAAGGCCGATATCGGTGTTGCCATGGGTATCGCCGGCTCCGATGTGTCCAAGCAGGCTGCCGACATGATTCTCCTTGACGACAACTTTGCGTCCATTGTGACTGGCGTGGAGGAAGGGCGACTCATCTTCGACAACCTTAAGAAGTCCATTGCCTACACCCTCACCTCCAACATCCCCGAGATTTCTCCTTTCCTCTTCTTCATCATTGCTGGCGTTCCTCTGCCTCTCGGCACTGTCACCATTCTTTGCATCGATCTCGGAACAGACATGGTACGTCAGTAAGAGAAAGAGAGAGAGAGAGAAAGAAAGAGAGAGAGAGAGAGAGAGAGAGAGAGAGAGAGAGTGTGTGTGTGTGTGTGTGTGTGTGTGTGCGTGTGTGTGTGTGTGCGCGTGCGTGTGCGTGTGCGTGTGCGTGTGCGTGCGTGTGCGCATCGTAATGTATAGCCTGTGCGTTGTCTTCCCCACCTCCTTGTCCCAACTCCTTCATTCTCGCCATCCTTCTCACTCCACCTTTCCCGGCACCCCCAACCACACACACACACACACACACACACACACACACACACACACACATCGCATCATTGCCATCAGGTCCCCGCCATTTCGCTTGCGTATGAGGAGGCCGAGGCCGATATCATGCTTCGTAAGCCGCGCTCGCCGACCAAGGACCGTCTGGTCAACTCGCGTCTGATTGGCATGGCATATCTGCAGATTGGCTTCATCCAGGCTGCTGCTGGCTTCTTCACCTACTTTGTTGTCATGGGCGAGAACGGCTTCCGCGCCAACCAGCTCTGGAACCTCCGCGAGGACTGGGATGACCAGGGCATTGAGGAGATCACCGACAGCCACGGCCAGCAATGGGTGAGTTTCATTGGGCCTTAGTTGGTTTTGTGTTGTGGTTTGTTTGTGCACGAGCGTGTGTTTGTGCTATCGTGAGCTCGTGCACGCGCACTCACCCTCATCCACTGACACACACTCTCTCACTCACCACAACGTCATCATCCTCCCCACCCCTCACCGTTTCTGTCCGTCATCTTTGCTTCGTCTTTCCTTCGTCCTCGCAGACGTACGATCAGCGCAAGGATCTGGAGTACACGTGCCAGACGGCCTACTTTGTGTCCATTGTCATTGTGCAGTGGGCTGATCTCATCATCTGCAAGACCCGCAAGCTGTCCATCTTCCAGCAGGGCATGCGCAACAACGCGCTCACCTTTGCTCTCTTCTTCGAGACAGCGCTTGCGTGTGTGCTCGTGTACTCGCCCGGCACCGACGTCGCCCTCAACATGCGCCCGCTGCTCTTCCGCCACTGGCTCACTGCGTTGCCGTTCTCCGTCCTCATCATGACGTACGACGAGACGCGTCGCTTCTTCCTCCGCAGCTTCCCCAAGGGCTTTGTCGAGCGGTGAGTTTTGCTTGCTTGCACGTCTTTGCGTGTTTCGTTTTGCTGCTGCTGCTGTTCTTGCGATGTGCGTTGTCGTCGTTCTGTCGTTGGCCCTTGTGTCCGGCTTTTGTGCCTAGCCTGTTTGCTTGCATGCATTGGCTTTGCTAAACAAGCAGTTGTGCCACTTGTTGTATTCAATTTACTTACCCACAAACACACATCACGCGTTTTTTTTTTTGTTGTTCTTCTCCTGGTTTGCCACAACAGCGAAACATACTATTAGGCTCGGAACACCCTCCATGCCCTCAATCGCAAACACACACACACACACACACACACACACACACACACACACACACACACACACACACCACACACACAACACACACCACCACGACCACCACCACACCACCCTCCATGCAAGCGGTTCCATTCCCAATTGCATACGTCTTCTTTCCTCTTTGTTCACATGTTCCAAGTTGACGCTTCTTCGTGTCGTCCTCGTTAAGCATTCCTTTCTTCTCGCTGTTGTGTGCGTGCACAACAACAACAACAAACCAACCAACCGATCGTCACACCAACCCAACAACAACCTCCATCCTGGTCAACGTCTTTCCCTTTCTTCTTGTTGTCGACTTTTCGACCAACAACACCCTGAAGTGACATGTGAAGCATACACTGACTTTGACTGTAGTTGCGCGCGTACTTGTTGCGTTTACTTCTTGCTCTTTGTTCCTCCCCCCCCTCTCCCCAATTGCCTATTGCACCCCAAGCCCATCTATCGATCAACCCAATACAATGAGTGACCCCAAATGTGAGTGACGGTGTGTGTGTGTGTGTGTGTGTGTGTGTGTGTGTGTGTGTGTGTGTGTGTGTGTGTGTGTGTGTGAACACGATCGTGTGTACGAGTGCAGTGTTTATTGCTGGAGAAATCGAGAAGCTGGTCAAGCAAAAGGCAAATCAAAGCGAAGGTCGAATCAGTTCATGTCATGTCGATCAGTGCCAATGTCAAAAGCGACTTCCAAAGTGTCGCACCACGTCTTCAATACAACCACCACAACAACACCAACAGCAACCATCACAATGCACGAATCGCGTCACTGCTGTGTACAAGAGTGCTCTGTCCAGTGCCGTGCGGCGTGGGTGACAATAAGGGTAGCTGCTATGTTACGGGTGGCAAGTCAAACAAATCGCCAAGCGACTCAACCTGCACTGACTCATGCTCGGGTGGTGGTGGCGGCGGCAGCGTCTGCGGTTGCTGTTGTTGCTGTTGCTGCATGGGTGCGGTGTTGACTGGTGTTGGGACTGTGGATGGCGGTGCCCACGGGTTCTCCACTGGCGCTGCTGTCTCCTGCGCAACATCAGCAGCAACCACAGGCACAGCATCTCCCTGCTGCTGCTGCTGCTGCTGCTGCTGCTGGGCGGACGGTGCTGTTGCCGGTGCAGCTATTGCTGCTGTTGAGGGCTGCACCTGCCGCAGAACTGACGCCTGCTCGTCCGTGTTGTCATTTCCGGCCGTGGCAGCGGCGTCGTGTGTGGTGCTGGCGGTTGGTGCTGCAACGTGAGCCGCATCCTGCGCTGGTGGTTGCAGTGGCGGTGCAAACGTCGGTGGGATGGGCTGTTCGCCAACGGCCGCGTTTTGGCGTCCAAACACATTCTGCAGCAGCAGCACAGCCCCGCTCGCCTCCCCGGTGCTCGCACGGGCCTGGCGCTTGCTCTGGTCGTGCTGGTGGTGCTGCTGGTGGTGGTGCTGGTGCTGTGTGGGCGGTTGTGGCTGGCCAGTCCCAGCCCTCAACGTGTTGTGACTGAGCACAACGTGATCAAACGCCTGAGCTTGCGGCTGTTGCTGCTGTTGCTGCTGTTGCGGCTGTTGCTGCTGTTGCTGCTGTTGCGGCGTTTGTTCTGTGGTTGTGGCAGTGGTTGTGTCTGCCGGACGGCTGCTGTATGGGGAGCGCGTCGACGACTGGTGTGACGACGGCATCAGTGATGATGATGACGGCGACCTCACGGGTGCTGCTGACTGCTGCGGGTGCTGCTGGTGGTGCTGCTGCTGAGTGGCCATTGCGGGTGCAGCGGCTGAGGGCGCATCAGATGGCGGTGTTGGGGCGTAGATTGACGCGGGGGTGGTTGATGATGTCGCTGTTGCTGACGACGACGAAGATGGTACAACAAACGCCTGCCCACGCGACATGGGCCCTACATGTTGGTGCTGGTGCTGGTGCTGGTGTTGGTGCTGGTGCTGGTGCTGGTGCTGGTGCTGCGGTTGCTGTTGAGCAAGGAGGCTCATGACTGGGTCGGTGCTGTGTGGCATGGACGACGCGAGCTGCATGCCTTGTGGTGGCGCTTCCCGGGCTGTCGGTGTCGTGGCCGCCGTCGCCTGCATGGTTGAGGATGTGGTCTTGGGATGCCCGTTCAACCCAGCGCCCTGCTCGTGTGTGCATGTGGGAGGACACGCTGGAAGCATGAGATGGTGACACAAGGTGGTGCAGCGAGAAAAATGTTTCAGATGATCCGAGTGACACCCACCACCCACAATACGCACCCTGTCCGCGGTCGCGTTGAGCTGCTCTGCGCGGCGCTTCAGCGTCTTGATTTGCTGCATATTCAGCACGGACAAGGGGCAGGGGGTGGGACAAAGGAAGCATGAGGACAAGCTGGGCAAAGCGGACTGTGCATGCGATGGGTACGCAGTGCGGAAAAGTGGGCCAGGACAGGACCGACGGAAGGGCACAAGCTCAAACACGACAAGACAGACACACAGACATGCACAGACACAGACACAGACACACACACACACACACGCACACACACGCACACACCTTGCGCCAGATGCATCCGAGGACGTAGTAGTCAATCTTGAGGCGGGGCAGCTCTGAGATGCGCTTGAGGTAGGAGCGGTCCGTCTGGTAGTTGGGGTGCACCTCCGCCAACTGCTTCATCTCAGAGTGCAGAATCAGCGTCAGCGGCGCCTTGTCGTCCTAAACCGCACAAAACGAGGGCGGGGCAACAGTATGTGAGAGGTGGGGTTGGGTGTCGAGCCAATCACAGGCATCCACGAATGAGCATGCTCGACACAGATGAAGAATGACAATCACACCCACAGGCACCCAGACCCCCCCCCACACAGACACACCCACAGGCACCCAGACCCCCCCCCCCCCAACACCCACACACAGACACCCACGCACACACAACTGCCTAACCTCGTCTGTGATGAATTTCTGGCAGCAGGACGGGTATCGTGCGAGAATGTACTGCTTCTCCTTCTTGTCACAGGAGAACTTGAAGATGGTACGGTGTTTGTTCCACACGTTCTTGGTGCCCAGGTTCAGCGCCTTGTTGACAGAGCACCCAAGCAGAAACTCCTGCAAGCCAAACCATAACGATTGATGTCGTGAGCAGCATTCAAACAGGGCGGATGCAAACACGCATACCATGCATGTGATGCGACAGACTCAAAAATCACGCACAAGTGCATGTGTGCGCACGCAAGTGCATACACGCCCCCTCCCCCCCCCCACACACACACGCACAAGCACCTCTCCGGCGTCGAACGTGAGCGAGGTCTTTGCTGATGTGAACGCCTTGACGTTCTGCACAGAGTTTGTCATGAGCTGCTCGTAGAGTTCCTTGAGCTGCTTCTTCGCCTCCAGCGCAGCTGTCACGTCCTCAGGCGTCATCGTCGGCACCACCGTCACCCGCGACTGCGACACGGAGGTCTTGCGCTGCTTCGGGGGAGGCTCATCGCCACCAGCACCACCACTGCCGCCCGCTGTGCTGCTGCGCCGCCCGCTGCCGTTGCTGTTGCTGTTGCTGCCTGATGCCAACGAAGACGATCGCTTGGCGCTTCCCGCTCGCCCGTTTGCTGCTTCGCCTTTGCAACCACCACCACCACTGCTACCACCACTGTTGCTGGCGGTCCGAGTGCTGCTGCTCGCAGCGCCACTGCCCGCGTTGGCACCGGGCGTACCCGTGACGGCAGCGGCGGTCGTTGGTGCAGCATCGTGGCCTGCCTTGTCGCCAGCACTGCTTGCCAGTCCACCGGTCCCGCCGTCAGCACCGGTACCAGCACCGCGCGCCTCTGCCAGCGACTCTGTACGCGTAAGTGAGTGAGTGTGAGTGGGGGTGTGAGTGTGAGTGAGTGTGTGTGAGATTACGTGCTTATATACACGCGCGTGTAGAGCGTGTGAGTGTGGATGCCACGCCGAAGAACAAAGCGCCATGCAGACGAACAGACGCGGCAAGCTAGCGGTCACCGGTGCGCGTGCAACCCACCGAGCTTCTGCCTATGCTTTTTCTGTTTTCTCAGGCGCTCGCGCTTGACCTGCTCCTCCTTCTTTCTCCGCTGCTCTGCAATTGCCTCCCGCGCCGCCTCGCCAGCCTGGTGGTGGTGATGATGACGATGACGATGATGATGATGATGAGGGTTGCGATGGTGAGGGTGGTTGTGGAGACGATGGTGGTTATGAGCAGGTGGAGACGAAACACAACAGCACGCCCACGCCCACGCCCACGCCCACGCCCACACACACACACACACACACACACACACACACACACACACACACACACACACACACACACGTTCACGCATTGAACCCCCAATCCATATACGCAGACAGGAATTGTTCCAATATGCTCTTCCCCACAACAGCCATACTATACTGACCTTCTTCGTTGGGCCGGGGCAGTTTGTGAGCATGGACCAGGTGGCGAGGGAGATGTTCCCTGCAAAATACGCCGTGGGCGCCTCCTCCTCAACAGCAGCAGGCGCGCTGGTGTTCGTGTCGTCGTTGCTGGTGCTGTCATTCGTGTTGTTGGTGCTGCCGCGGGTCACACCTGCTGTTGCTGAAGACCCCGTTGGTGGTGACGCACGCTTGTCGTTGGCGTTGCGTGCGTCACCACCACCAGCGCCCTGCTCCTTGGGCTGTGCACTCCCGCCACCACCACCCGTAGCATCCTTTCCGCCACCACTAGCAGCAGCCGCAGCCGCAGCCGAGGACGACGACGATGATGCGGTTGGCTTGAGGTGCAGGCCGCCGCAGGTCATGTGTCTGTCGGCGCCATAACGGATGAGCAGCTCAATCATGGCAATATCGTTGATGCGCGCGGCCTCGAAGATGGGCGGGAGCTTGTCGCCCGTCGACTTGATGTCGGGATTCACGCCTGTAACGAACCGGGTTTGGGGGAGGGTTGAGGAGATGAGAGAAGCGGGGAGAGAGAAGGCAGGGGGGCAAAGGTTGCGGCGTGCGTGCGCGTGTGTGTGTTCGTGCAGCGCCCAGTTACAGTTTGAAATCTTGCGAGTGATACAAGACTCTGACACACACACACACACACACACACACACCTCGCTGGAGGAGGTATTCGGCGATATGGTGCTGTCTGTTTCTGACGGCGATGAAGAGTGGGGTCTGCTCGTCGTGCGTCAGCGCCGTGTGGTTGATGCGCTCCTTCTCAATCAGATACTTCACCTGTCCAACAGACAAACAGCAGCGGCAGCAGTGGCAGCGTGTGAGCTGCTGCGACCTGCTTGCGCGTTGTGCATGTACACACCAAACAACGATACAAACAGACAAGCAGGCAGGCAGGCACACACACACACACACACACACACACACACACACACACACACACACACACACACACACACACACACACACAAAGTGACCTTGTCGAGGTTTCCTTCGCGAACGGCCTGGTGGAGCTGGCGCTCGAGGCGAACAACCTGTGCACGGTCCCCACCGCGCGTCCGCCCGCTCACAATCGGCCTGCAGAAAAAAAAAGGGGGGGGGGATAGTGGTGGTGAGCATGTTGAGCATGTTGCAGAGTGAGATGTTGACTGCACACAGCACACACAGCACACACAGCACACACACACACACACACACACACACACACACACACACAACACACCTGAGTGCGTGCTGGACGCTGTCGCGGCTGCGGCTGAAGCACGTGACGATGAGGTTCTTGATGTGGTGCTGCGTGATGCGCTTTCGCCGCAGCGGCTTGTTCTCAACCTCCGCCAGCGCATCTGCAATGCCCTTGTACTCCTGTGTGCAAGCATAGCGGTGCAGTCAATCAAGGCGCACGAGGTCGCAGTGAGAGAGGGTGGGAGCGTGCAAGTAATCGGCTGCCAACATGCGCAGGCACATAAACCCTCACACACCCACACCCACACACTCACTCACTCACTCACACACACACACACACACACACACACAGTTGGCGCACCAGGAAGAGGCTCTTGACGAGGTATGTCATCTCCAGTTGCAAGTTCTTGCAGGCAGACTCAAACGCATTGGGCCGCTGTTTCGGCGTGCTACCGCTCTTGCTGCTGCTGCTGCTGCTTGTGCTCGTAGCACCACCACCACCACCACCACCACCACCAGGAGTGGCAGAGGCCGCCCGCTTGCCCTTGGATGGCGACGATGATGATGACGAGGTGGTGGACGACCGAGACCCACGCGAGCCGCTCTTGGTGGCGCTTGAACGACGCGCACCGGCCGTCTTCTTTGCAGCGCTCGCTGTTTTGCGCTTCTTCGTGGACATTGTGCCCGCTTTCGGTTTGGCCGCACTCGTCTTGCTCGTGCCAGACGTCTTCTGAGCGCCGGCAGCGCTGGCTGCAGCCGGTGTGCCTGTCTTGGGTTGAGCGGCGGGGACGCTGGCTGTTGCTGGTTTTGGAGTCATGGTTGGTGCGGGCCCCGCAGTCCCTTTTGGTGCTGCCTCCTTGTGTTGCACTGCTTGTTGTTGTTGTGATGCTGATGACGCAGGTGGTGTCCATTGCGATTCAGCAGGTGATGTTGTTGCTGAGGGCAGCTGTACCTTGGCTTGCTTGGTGGGAGGCTCATCGGTGAGCTCACTTGCCGTTGCGGGCTCATTGGCACACGTTTCCGCGTCCTTCGTCGTGGATGGAGGCTTGGACGTCGTTGTTGAGGTTGCTGGCGACAGGGACGGCGACGGTGTTCTCGGCGAGGCAGACCATGACGGTGCAGAAGACGAGGTAATGGGTGCCCCTTGTGGTTGCGCCTGCGCTTCGTTTGACGCGTCCTGGCTCGAGGGTGTCTTCTCCTTCTCCTTCTCCTCCTGCTGTTTTGGCTGCTGCTCTTCCGTCTTCTCGGTCTTCTCTGTCTCGGTTTTGTCCTCCTCCTTCTCCTCCTTTGCCTCATTCTCCTCCTCTATCTCTAACTCAGTCTCGGTCTTCTCCTTCATCTTCTCCTTCTCCGCTTCTTCCTGCTGGCCACTTGGCAGCGCCTTGCTTGTAGCTTCTTGTTGAGGTTCGTGTGGTGGAGACGCTGTGTTGATGCTGTTGGTTGCTTGCGTGGGCTGTTCCGTTGAAGGATGTGCAGCTGTGGTGTGAGTGGTGTGTTCGCTGTTGGTTGCAGCTGGTGGCCTTGGCGTCTGTTGTTTCGGCTGCACCTCCTGCTTCAAACCTTCCTTTTGTGGTTGTTGTTGTTGTTGTTGTTGTTGTTGTTGTTGTTGTTGTTGTTGTTGTTGTTGTTGTTGTTGTTGTGGTGGTGGTGGTGGTGGTGAAGCTGTGGGTGCTGCTTCATCATCACGTTGTTGTTGGGCGTGTTGTTGATGGTGTGTTGTTGCTTCATCTGCGATTTGTGCAGGGTTGGCCGTCACAGCAGACGATGATGGTGTTGCGGTTGGCTCCATGATTGACAAATGCGCACACAACCAACCACAACTGTTGCAGTGTGTCACTGACGCGTGTGTCTGTGGTTTGTGTGAAAAGGGGTTGTCAATCTCGCTGTTGCTGTTGTTGCGTGCTCGACATCAACTCAACACCCGGCGCACACGCATGAGAACCAACAAGAACACCAGCACCACGCGAAAATGGGTGCGCTTGCGGCTCTTGCCCCTCTTGCCTTCCTTCCTTCTTGTTGGTTGTTGCTTGTTTGTTGGTGTGGCGCGATTGAAGAAATTCGTAGGGTAACATACATACTAATCGCATTGCACATGCAATTGGCAAATCCACCCTCAGCTGTTTGCAACTCGATCAGCAGCAGCTGTTACGACCAGCCACGACTCCTCATCCAATGCAGCACACCACACACGCTGTCCACACCATCACGCTTCACTTTCTTGTCGGCCGTCACCACTACTGGATACACAACAGAGACGATGAGCAGTGATTTGGCCACGCCAATAGACGTGGACACGAAGCCCTCGCGCAGTGGCAAACACGTGTCTTTACTGGTGTGTGTGTGTGCTGCTGAATTCGTGTGCGAACGCGTGTATGTGAATATGTGTGTATGTGTGTGTGTGTGTGTGTGTGTGTGTGTGTGTGTGTGTGTGTGTGACTGCATGCGTGTATGTGTCTTGCTGCAGGCGCTTCCGCTTGCGCTGGTGATAACAAAGGTACAGCCTGCGGAAGCCTGTTGGGGGGTTTTTCCCCAGCTCACGCATGTTCACCCACAACACACACACACATGGCGCTCCTGGCACTGGAGCAGGATCCTTGCTGGTTGGTGGACATTGAATTCTTGCCGTACACGGCTGCGCGATCGCTTGCAGATGAGGCAGACATTGATCAGCGCGCAGACATCCTCAAGTTGCAGATCAACGATGTGCACAGGCTTCTCTCCCTTCCATACCATGTGTTCTGGGCCCACGTACGTCGCGCTCTCCCGTGTTTGCGCGCACGTGTGCAGCGATTGCACTGCTCCACTCACATCGGCGCAGCGTGCCACGTGATTTATGCTCTGCCTCTCTTCTTTGAGTTTGTTTCCACCTTCTCACCTCCGCGGCTTCCGGTTCCCATCCACCTATTTTGGCAGGCGCTGCACGACAAGTCGCTTGGACGCTTCCTCAGCACGTTCCTCAAGCTCACCTCGCGGCCGTATGATCTCCCCATCATCAGCGCCCTCCCAGACAAGCTGAAGGCCCTCGAAACGCAGCTCGCACGCAAGGTGGCATATGCTTGTGAGCGTGGACGTACTCAACCCCCTCTGTCTTCTTCAGCACGTGTACAGCCCAGCCCTGTTCCTCATCGTGCATGCTCCTGTCGCACAAGCGCACTCAACCGGACAAGCCACTCGCACTTGGATATACACTCACGCACACTCACTCACACACACTCACTCACACACACACATACACGAATACACACATACACTCACACACATACACGAATACACACATACACAAACACATAAACACGCACTCCTGCAGGTGTTTCTGGTGTATCTGCGGCTGTCCACGCACAAGGAGGCGCCAGACAAGTTCATGACGCAGCGCGGGTACTCGGAGCTCATCTACAACAACTGGGTGTTTGACATGCCAAAGCTGCTGGACCTGTGCGCCATCTTCGCTGCTAGCAACAGGCCGCTGCTGCAACGCATGGTGTGCAACGTGTTTTCCCGCCAGCCAGCCTACTTTGACGACCTGAGCAACTCGCTCGTCGCCGTCTCCACGCTCATCCACCGCACGTGCGCGCAGCATTCCGCAGAGGGCGTGCCAGCTGACGTCCCCTTGCACGAGCGCGCCCCAACCATTGCTGGCGCGCGCCGCATTGCTGACCTCACACCGCAGGAGCACATGGACCTGGCCGTGTTTGTGCATGACATTGCCAACACGCTGCGCTGTTTTGTCACCGCATTCCCCGAGTGCAGTGTGCAGCTCCACCGCACGCGCATCCTCGTTGCACTGTGCTGTCTGCACGCCTCAATTGTGGGGCCACTGCTCACAGCAGCCATCTCAGCTGCGGACACGGCAGGCGATGATGATGGCGATGATGATGGCGATGATGATGGCGATGATGATGACGACGATGATGACGACGATGATGATGACGAGGATGGGGAAGAGAGCGGCAAGGCGTTGGTGGTGCAAGCGTGCGCAGTCGCAGCAGAGAATGCGTTGCTTGCATGCATCGTGGACATGATTGACTCCGTGTTTGTGCAGCCGCTGCTTCCCAACGGTGGGGCCAGCGCCGCCACCGACACAGCAGCAACACCACAGCCACCGGCAGCTGCTGTGACGTCGTCCCTGTCGCACGGGGAGAAGGAAGACATGTTGTTTGACGCCATGGAGGCACTCGTGCTGTACCCGCCCGTGGTGCAATGGATTGCGCGTGAGGAGGGGCTGGCTCGCGTGTTCGCCGAGCTGGCGGAGGTGGGCGACGACGGCGTTGAGGAGATTCGCCTGCAGTTTTATCGGAAGTTGCTTGCAGGCACGGAGGAGGTGGTGGACGCGGACGTGCTGGCTGAGGTGCAGGAAGACGAGAAGAAGAACCAGAAGAAGAAGCAGCAGCAGAAGAGTGGCAGCGATGGTGATGATGACGAGGTAAGCGGCGCCGCCATGGATGGTGGAGATGGCACGTCAAAGCGTGATGCCAAGTTGGAAGGACAAGTGGACAGCGTGTTGGCTGTCGTGCCCGATCTTGGCCGCGGGTTTGTCAAGGCCTGTCTCCGCGCCTGCGAGGTGCGTTGCTTTTTGCTGTGCTGTGGTTGTGCGGGGCGTTGTCGTGCTGCGTGTCGTAGTGTGCGGGGAGCTGAGCTGTGTTGTGCGTTGCAGTGTGAACTGTCTTCGCGTTGTGTGCTTGTGTTGTGTACATGTGTGGTGATACGTGCACGCGTGTTTGTTATGGTTGCGCGCTGCTGTCATCCCTGCTTGCTCACCCTTTGTTCCTTGTCCATCGACCCACCTTTGATCCAAAACACCTGCGGTTGCCATCACCACCTCCGCTCCACAGTTCAACGTGGAGAACGTGATCAACCGCCTGTTTGAAGGGAACCTTCCGCCAGCTGTTGTGGATCTTCCACGTGACCTCTCCGATGATGCTGATGGCGATGGCGGGGCGAAGAAGGACACGCGGTCCATATTTGATGGCGATCAATTTGACATCATGGCTGGACGCAAGCTCGACCCAACCAAAGTCCATCGCGGCAAGAGGTGCGTTGTGGTTGCCTGTGGTTGTGTGTGTTTGCCTGTGTTTGCTTGCGTTTGTCTGGGTTTGCATGTGGTTGCCTGTGTTTGCCTGTGGTTGTATGTGTTTGATTGCTAGCGCTTGCGTGTGCGTTGTTAATGTTCGCCTCTACACACACACACACACACACACACACACACACACACACACACACACACACACACACACACACACACACACACACACACAAACACACACACAGACACACACACAGACACACACAGACACACACCTCACCTCCCTTTCCTTCCTTGCATGCTACTCCATCCTCCCTGCAGGCGCATGGGCACAACGGCGTCGGTGCTTGGTGGTGACGAGGGGCGTGAGGCGGCAAAGGCGTACATCAAGCGCAGCCTTGCACACGACCGGAAACTGCAGGCAGAACACGAGGCCGCAGCACAGCAGCTTGCACGCGAGGGCGGTGGTGATGGTGCCATGACGGCCTACGCTGATGATGGTGATGGCGATGATGATGCGCTGCAGGTGTTCAGTTCGTTTCTGTATGAGGATGAGTATGACGACACGTATGACGACATGGAAGGCGTTGGGTCGATGGAGCCCTCGACGGAGGAGGAAGCCGCACAGCAGCAGGTCGCCGCACCAGCGATGACGTGCATGTACTTGTATGATTCGTTGGTTTGTTTGTTCGTTTGCGTTGGGGTTTGGTGCGGTTGGTTGGCGCAATAAGTTCGTTGTGCTGTTGTTTGTGGTTGTTTGTGGTTGTTTGTGGTTGTTTGTGGTTGTTTGTGGTTGTTTGTCTGTGGCTGTTTGAATCCACCTTCAAATAACCCTGTTTTGTTCACTCAATCCACTCACCCTCCATTCTCCACCCCTTTCTCTCGACAGATGAACTTCAATCCAAACCGCGGGCGCAAGTGGCAGCCCGTGCACATGGCCCAGGTTGCCCCACCCGCAGACGGTGATGATGATGGTAATGATGGTGGTGATGATGATGACGGTACACGTGGTGGTGGATACCAGCGCGGTCACCCGCCACAGGGACGCCCATTCCCAGGTATGGAATGCGCCATTGTGTGTGCGTGCGTGTGTGTGCGTGTGTGTGCGTGCGTGTGTGTGTGTGTGCGTGTGTGTGCGTGTGTGTGCGTGTGTGCGCGTGTGTGTGCGTGTGTGTGCGTGTGTGTGTGTGCAGTGCTTGTGTGGCTGTTCCTGCTGCTTAGTCTCACCGTGTGTGTGTGTGTGTGTGTGTGCACTGCAGGGAGAGGCGCTCCAAGTGCTGGCAGGGGCGGTAGAGGGCGGGGAAGAGGAGGAGGTGGTGGAAGAAGAGGAGGAGGTGGTGGTGGCCGTGGAAGCGGTGGCGACCTTGTCGGTGAAGGCGGTGATGCAAGCAAGACCGCCAAGGCACGGCGACGCAAGGAGGTGAGCATGTCGTTCGATGCATGTTGTGGAGGGCCGTGACACAGCGTGAAGAGTACTGCATCTCAATGGAGAAATTGTTGTTGTGGTTCAACGATGTGTCTATCTGCCTCCCTCCTTACTCTGTGCGCGCTTGCGCTCCTGCGCGCCTGCCTCGCTGCTATCGTTCCCCTTCAAACTCACACCACCGCCACCATCATGACGTTATGACAGAGCAACAAGGCAAAGTACGCGAACCACAACCGAAAGGCGCGCGCGATGAAGAAGCAGGCCCAGGCGATGCCACGCTAGCACGGACGTCACATCACATCTCGCGCATTGAGTATGCATCTGCCTTGCGTCTTCTCCTCTCTCTCTCTCTCTCTTGCATCTGCCTCGTGTCTTTTTCTTCTTCTTGTCGTTCTCTCTCTATGACTCTCGTTGTCTGTCCCTCGCCCAAATTCTCTCAACCTCCCCTTGCAAACACTTGTGTCTTGGCCCTGGTGCTGTTGTCTGTACACGAGGAGGCTCGATTGTTCCACCATTTATACACCAACCATCAACGACAGCGAACGCCACCTGACAGCTGACACAAGCAACCACTGAGGCCGTGCTGCCCATGTCAAGGTCGACACAAGCCCCAGTGATGACAGAATACACGGCAGCGGCACACTGCTGTCTATGACGCTGCAAGGACAAGACAAACGAACACGGGTGGTGGAACTAGTGCGTTCAGTGGCACGCGAGTACTGTCATGACACTGATGCACAAAGAAGAGAAGGGAAAGAGGGGAGGGACTGCTGCTAACCAGAAGGAATCAGCTCGAATCAACGCCACAGACAGACAGACACACACACACACACACATACAGGCAGGCAGACAGACCGACAGACAGACACACACACAGTGACAGAAAGAGCCAAGGTCAAAGAAGGGTGAGGGGGATAAGGACGGTTGCAACGAGCGCTCAAACGTTGTAGCCGATGATGCTGCCCCGGCCGATGATCTCGCCTGGTGTGGACAATGAGGTGACGCGGTGTGAGTCGGGGAGGGAGTGAGGGGGAAGGAGCGAAGCAATGGGCAGCACATGCGGTGAACATCAGAAGTGCAGGTTGAAACAGAAGTATGACGTGAGTGTGGGAACTCAACATTGGCTGGACACAATCAAACGCACCATGTGAACATGATACATCTAAAGGACACGCATTTCTCCTCTCACACACGCACCAACATCTGCGCGCGCACACATACACACATGCACCAGTAAACTGACCAACGTAGAACCAGCAGAGGACCTCAGCGCCAAGGAGGGCACCGGTGACGGCCTCCTTCACACTGACGTTGATGAACTTGAGGCTTTTTGCGCTCTTCACGAGACCCTGAAGATCTGCAAACACCAGCATACCAGAGTGCAACATGCAAGAGGGTCAGAACGATTGTGGTTGAGTGCGTACTGGTTCAGTGCACACAGACACACACAGACACACACAGACACACACACAGACACACCCACACACACATACGCACACACACACACACACACAAACACACAGACACAGACACACACACACACGCACACACCCAGACACACACCCTTCTGAATTGTGGGCCACTGGGCAGGGCTGGGTGGTCCGAGCTCGCGCATGGCGAGGCTGCCGTACGTCTGCATCGCGGGCTTGGCCATCAGAGCCATGTCTGCACGCGGAGTCGGATGAGTGTTGCGATGGGGTGAGTGTGAATGCCAGATGAGATGAGATGAGATGAGACGAGATGAGATGAGATGAGATGAGATGAGATGAGATGAGATGAGATGAGACGAGATGAGATGAGCACACGCAAACTCACAGACAGACAGACACGCAGACACACCTGTGGCCGCCAGCTTAAGCTTGTTCACAAGTCCTGCTGCCCTCGCTGCCATCTTGCTTCTTGTGGGTTGCTTGTCTTGTTCGTGTGTCTCGTGTCGTGTGTGTATCTGCTGCTTGCACTGTGGATGAATACAGAATTTTTCTTTATTTTTTAGGCAGAAGTTGCTTGGGCCCGTACCACACAGCGCGGTCGAGGTCGAGTGGATGCACAGACACACAGACAGACAAGACAGACAGTCACACACACACGCAGACACAGACACACACAGACACAGACACAGACACAGACACACACACACACATCTCAACGCTTCTTTGTTGGAGACTTTGGCCGCTTGTTGCTGCCTTGCCCTTTGTGGTTGCTGTTTGCAGTGTTGTTCTTGCCCTTGTTCTGGGAGGACGAAGATGACGCTGATGACGACGCAGCCACCTTTCCTGATGATGACTTGGCCTTCCCCTTGCTCTTCCCCTGCGCATCGCTCCCTTCTTTCGTCCTGCTTTGCCCCGAACCACCCGAGCTCTCCTCATCTGCACACGTGCAGCGAGAAACGAACGGAAGCCCCTACGTGAGCTCGGCAGCATCACACTAGGGAGAGACGCGCACAAGATGCGAGTGCGCGAAAACACACAAACAGGCAGACAGACAGACAGACAGACACACACAGACACACACAGACACACACAGACACACACAGACACACAAACACAAACACACACACACACAAACACACACACACACACACACACACACACACACACACACACACAACACACACACACACACACACACACACACACACACACACACACACACACACACACACACAGACAGGGGAGCCCTGCTGACCGTCGATGACGCGGATGAGGCGGTAGAGGCCCGACGCCTCCTTGTACGAGCTGAACTGGATGCAGAAACACTTCACCTCAACAATCAAGTCCTGCGCACAGACACAAACCGTCACAAGCAAGCAGTCAGATGACGTGTGCGTATGTGTGCGTTTGTGACGTCGAGATATCGTATTGTTGCAGCGCTGTGTTGCACGAACCGCAGGGTGCCAGGAGAGTCAACCACAAATGCACACACACATGCAATACACACCGTGGTGCACCTGAACTTACTTTGTTGCACGTCTTGATGTCGATGATGTTGTTGCGAATGAGGCTCTGCACAAACACGCACACGAGGCGAACAAGGCGGCGCAGATACGACGGCTGCCCATTCTGTTTCGCAGTCGTTCGAGGGGCGAGGACGAGTAGAAGGGTCGGTGGTGGAATACAAAGTCGTGCATATGAGCCACGGCGCGTGGACAAAGGCACAGCGACGCGACGTGCACACGCAAGCAAGCAGACACAACCTGCACGCGTAAACCAAGACACACACTCACACACACGCGCGCGCACACATCTACATACACACATGCGCGTGCATGTTCACACCTGGTTCTTCTCGCAAGTGCGAATGCAATTTGAGATGAACATGTGCAAGAATTCCTGTGGCAGGCCGCACTGCAAACACCAAAGTCACCAAATTGACAGCAAGATGCGTGCGTATGTGTTTGTGCGTGCGTGCGTGTGTGTGTGCGTGTGTATGTGTGTGTGTGTGTGTGTGTGTGTGTGAGCGAGTGCACATAAAAGTCTCCCGATACAACAACCATCAACACATGACAGACCGGCACCACGCCCATCACCACTGATAATGGCCAAAAGGTATCCCCACCGAGGTGAGCCCGTTGACGACCTCCATGGAGTTGAGGCTCATGTCCATCTTCACAATCTCCGCGTAGTACGGCGCCATCGACTTTGGCTCGTGCTTCAGCTTCTGCGCAAGAATCTGATGTTCGGGCGTGTGTGTGTGTGTGTGTGTCGGGAGGAGAAGGTGAGCAAGGCAAGCCAAGTGAGAAACTAAAAGGCATGCTGGGCGCACGTGCGTGAGCACGAGGCGAGCCATTCCACATCAACACCGACAACAGCCACTAACAGACAATAACAACCATCGACAAGCGCAATTGCACAGGTGCGGTGGTCAAGGGGAAAGGGGGCGGGCGGAGGAGAGATACCATGGTGGCAATCTGCGGGTTGTGTTCGACGACGCCGGCGAGGGATGCAGCAGGAAGAGCAATCTTGGCCACGACGTCCTCAGACTTGAGCGCGTTGAGCAGCGACTGGAATCGCGGGGCAGGCAGCGCCATCTGTACAGCCATGTCAACAAGCTGCTGCGGCGTCGGCTCTGTGGGCAGCAGAAGGTTGAGGGGGGCGGGAGAGGGAGAGGGAGAGGGAGAGGGAGAGGGAGAGGGAGAGGGAGGGAAGGGGGTGAAGGTGCGGTTAGTGTGAATGAGAAGGCATTCGGCAGCATGATATTTTGAATCTCTTCACACCCACAACAACGCAAGCGCGCAAGCGAGAGCATGAGTGAGGGCTGGGGCTGAACGCACCGTCGAGATCTTTGACGTCGTAGTGGACGTCGTACGTAAACTCGCTCGGGTTCATCCACACGACCTCATTGTCACTGGTCATGATGATGGTGATGATGATGGTGATGATGACGACGATGATGATGATAATAGCAATGGTGGCGGAAGAGTGTGGACGAAAGAAACAGTGGGGTTCACAGATTACAGTTCAGCGTGCGTGCGTGTGTAAGCAGGTGGATGTGCGGAACAACATGGGATCGGCAGATGGACAGGGATTGAAGACGAGGTGAATGCACATGCATGAGCTCGTGCAACAACAAACAAGCACACACACACACACACACACACGCACACATATGCACACCCACACACACGTACACATATACACACACCCTCAGACCTACAAACCCCACCTGATGCTGAGAAGCGGTGGCGGCGGTACGAGCAGCGGCAGTGGCGAGGGCATGTGCAGTGGCCTGCAGTCACGGGTACGCGAACAGTCAACAAAGAGTAAGCATGGTGATGCATACACGACAGTGTGACCCACGACGCTCCTACACACATCCCCCCATACACAAGTAAAGTCCGTACATTGCTTCTGAGAAGAGGGAGCGTGCTGCCTCCTCTGTTGCTTCAGATGTGTACTGAGATGCCTGCCCGAGCCACGGCAGCTGTACCACCGTTGGAATGCACGATGGCGCATGCTCCTGTGGTTGTGCACATGAGCCAAGACCGCAGATGTTGAGCACATGAACGAGTGAAACAGACCGCAAGGAGCTGATGTATCTGGCGACCATGACCGCATGCACAATGTCTGTCTGTCTGTCTGTGTGTGTCTGTGTGTGTGTCTGTGTGTGTGTGTGTGTCTGTCCGTCTGTCTGTCTGTTTGTGTCTTGTCTGTGTGCGTGTGCGTGTCTGTCTGTCTATGTCTTGTACAACACACACATGCACACAGACACACATACTCACTACGGGCTGTGGCGGTGATGGTTTGGGAGGTGTTGAAGATGATGGGAAGCTGCCGTGCTTCTTGAGAAAGTCCACACTAAACGTCATGGGCGTGTGTTTCGTCGACACCTGCAGCGTGCACAAGGTGGAGCAGATGGGGCACATGAGCTGCAAGCTACATCAACACACACACACACACACACACACACACACACACACACACACACACACACACACACACACACACACATCTGAGATGCGGTTGGCGAGTATTAACGAGGAGAAGTGTTGTTCTACGGGTGTAAAGTCGAAGGTTCCCATTGGTTCCCGCGGCAAGCTCTCCTTTGGCGCTGTGGTGTGGACACCACACATTGTGTGTGCGCGCGTGCATGAGTGCGACGTCTGATGCCAGCCGAAGGTTTCCCAAACCCCCCCCCCCAAAAATTGGGGCCCCCCCCCCCCCCCCCCCCCACACACACACACAAATGCACACACGCACCTTGTTGGCTCTCTCGATGACATGAAGAAAGGGGTTTTGTTCCAAGGGTTGGTGGGCGAAGGTTCGATACAGAAGGAACATGCCGAGCAGCCTGCCTGGCACGTACGGCAGCAGATCCGCTTGCTCCAACAGCATGCTCTGTAGTACATCAATGGTCATGCGTGGTGTCGAGAATGAGATGAGGGGATGCAGCGTGCACGTGAACCACATCGCATCACAGCAATCACAGCAATCACCGCACCATCGACACGTGCTCAAACATCCACAGGCAGGTGCAACTCCAGAGCAGCTCACCAGCACGTTGCACATGTCCTGCCGCTGAATGTCTCGCCGGAAGGCTGAGCAGTATTTCTTGTACCCATCCTCAAACGTCGCATTCTTGCCGCCCCTCACGAGGCTGTACAGGCACGACAATGACGGTCAACACAACACCAGCGTTTCATGCAACAAACAGGGTGTGAGAACTGCAGACCCACACTGCCAGCCATTCGACACAAATACACAACCGAGGACAAAAGGTGCACGCGTGTCCATGTGCGTGGCTTCCCCCTGCTCGACAAGGGGCCACACACAGACACACAGACACACAGACACAGACACACAGACACACAGACACACAGACACAGACACATACAGACACAGACACACAGACACAGACACACAGACACACAGACACAGACACAGACATACACACACAGACACACAGACACACAGACACAGACACACACAGACACACACAGACACACAGACACACAGACACAGACACACAGACACACAGACACACACACACAGACACACAGACACACAGACACACAGACACAGACACACAGACACACGCGCGCGCGCGCTGCAAGCAGGCAGAGGGAGAGAGGTGCACAGCGCAAAGCCCTACACACCGCAGCAGCTGCACCACTTGGTCCGCGCTCATTGTTCCTCGTCTGTTGTGGCTGGTGTGCGAGTGTGCGATTGTGTGCGATATGCGTGCTTTGAATTTTGTGCTGTCGAGTGGGGGGGGGGGGGTCTCGAGTGGGGTCGCTGCATGCCTTTTGTTCATCCGTCACATCAGTGGTTTGTTCTTTTAATTCATGTCTCACACCCACACCCACACCCACACACTCACTCGCCGTCCCTTTGCAACGCATACACACGCGTGCCATGTGTACAAACAACGAGCCACAAAAACCAAAAGAAGCCACGAAGCCATGATGGGACGGAACCACCTCCATATCAATCGAATCAGCACAGACCACGCCCCACTCTCATTCATATGTCGTGTCAAGCAAGGAAGCAAGCAAGGAAGCAAGCAAGGAAGCAAGTCTCATTTTTTTTCTTCTTCTTCTCGACAGCATCACATCAAGTGTGCCGCAAACCCAGGTGCAGGCCGCCTCAGTCCTTGGCATCGCCGATACCGTCTGCGTTGATGGCAAACACAGCCTCCGACTCTGGCAGGCACGGGGAATCGTACACCTTGCACACACGCGTCTCACCGCGGCCCTTGCGAAGGTACAACCTGGTCACAGCGCAAGGGAGGAGGGTAGGCGGGAACGAGAGAAAATGGCACGGGCAACAACAATGTGGTGAGTTGCTGGAGACAGAGGAGAGCAAGTCATCAGGGCGGGCGAACAAGCAATGTCAAAGAAGCAAGAAACATGAAGGACAACAGAAAAGAGGGACAACAACACCAAGAGCGAGTATGGGCAAAGAAGGTTGCAAACACACACACACACACACACACACACACACACACACACACACACACACCTGGTGGTGGAAGCGTGGGCCATGATGTTACCGCCGATGGGCTTCTTTGGGTCAGCGGCAAACATGGCGGCGCCGTCGACCTGCGCCACAACCTGGTTGGTGATGACCACGGCAATGCCAAACTCGTCGGCAAGACGCATGAGGGTGCGCAGGAACTGGGCCAGCGCCATCTGGCGCGCAGAGAGCTCGCCGCGGCCAGAGTAGTCTGTGCGGAACAACGCCGTCGCGCTGTCAACCACCATCAAGGCATACCTGCCATTACAGGAGGAGTGAAACATGGAGCATCATGCGAAAAGCGTGAGCCAACCACGGAGGGAGAGAGAGAGAGAGAGAGAGAGAGAGAGAGAGAGAGAGAGAGAGAGAGAGAGAGAGAGAGAGAGAGAGAGAGAGAGAGAGAGAGAGAGAGAGAGAGAGAGAGAGAGAGAGAGAGAGAGAGAGAGAGAGAGAGAGAGAGAGAGAGAGAGAGAGAGAGAGAGAGAGAGAGAGATAGAGGGCGAGAGAGAGCGAGATAGAGAGAGAGAGAGAGAGAGACAGAGAGAGAGAGAGCCAGAGAGAGAGACAGAGAGAGAGAGAGAGACAGAGAGAGAGAGAGACAGAGAGAGAGAGAGAGACAGAGAGAGAGAGAGAGAGACAGAGAGAGAGAGAGAGAGACAGAGAGAGAGAGAGAGACAGAGAGAGAGAGAGAGAGACAGAGAGAGACAGAGAGATGTAACAAGTGAAGAATCCAATCAACAGCAGGTGACATCGAGGTTCCAGCAAGGTGAAAAACGCACTCAATCACACGCACCGTGATTCGGCCATCATGGCCGATGCTTGTTGAAGCAGGTGCATTTGATGGTCAGAGTTGTAGGCGCGTGCGTAGGCAACGTTGTCCAGCACGTCCTCGCCACTGAGGCCATAGCGCTCGGCAACTGCAAGCAGGCGCTCCGGTCGAAACGTGCCCTCCGTGTCGATATACAGGCACTTGCCCTCTGCACCGCCCTGGTCAATTGGCAACTGGCAGGAGACAAAAGATGAGAACAGCAGGCAGCAGTCCATCGTGTGTGTGTGCGTGTGTGTTCGTTGTCACAGATACATCTGTCCGTTCCTGCACATACAACTCTCGTGTCCCCCTCCATCCCTTTCTATTCACACACACACATGAAGGCGTACCTGGCATGTGACGGCGAGTGTGTGGCAGAGCTGGGTCTTGCCAGTCCTGAATTCACCAAACATTTCCGTGATGGACCCTGTTTCAATGCCGCCTTGCAGCAACGTGTCCAGTTCCTTTGACCCGCACGAAATGTTCACAATCTCTTGTCGCCGCTGCACAACAGGAACACAGAGCGCGCGCGCGCGAGGGAGGGAGAGAGCGAGAGACAGTCACACACAGAGAGAGAGAGAAAGAGAGAGAGAGAGAGAGAGAGAGAGAGAGAGAGAGAGAGAGAGAGAGAGAGAGAGAGAGAGAGAGAGAGAGTGTGTGTGTGTGTGTGTGTGTGTGTGTGTGTTCAAAAAGAGATGAGAAAGCTGGTTCAGCAATAGAAAGGTGTTTCAAGCAAGGACCGCCAAGCTTCATCCCGATCCACAAGCAAATACAACATACCTGGTGGAATTCGGATGCTGTGGTGAAGCCCATGGGCAGTAGTTTCGACGCCTCGTTGATGATTTTGTCGGCCTTGGCTTCGCTGATGCCCTTGACACC